TATATATATATATATATATATATATATATATATATATGTATATATATATATATATATGTGTATAATGATCCCGTCATATGTATAATGATCCAGTCATAGTAAAGAGGGGTTTTTTTAGCAACTATTTATCTGTTACTTTTGTTCTATTACTTTTTTATCTATTTCACTTCTGTTTTTGAGTTGATTGTTAACATTAGAATCGGAGGCATTACTTACTGGAGTTTGTTTTGTAGGTAGACAATACTTAACAGAGTGTTAATACTTCTGCAAATTCTCCAGATTAGTCTTTGGTTACAATCAAGTATGTTTTCACATAGAAAGGTCAGCCATTACAGTAACTTAAATTATGATTAGAGGAACAACTGTCTTTGTTAAAATATAAGCCTATTGCTGCTCTCTCATTACTGTGGAACATTGAGCCTGGCTCATTTTTTGCCAAGTCATGTTTCAGGTCTTGAAATTCATGCTGCGTGTGAATCCAGATCCAAATGTTAGCTAATCCTCAGACAGGCACCCCAATGTTACATAAAACACAGCTGCTCCCCTCATCTAAACCAACCTGCGCAGTACCATACGGCTCTATTTTTACCAAGCCTCATAGACGAGTCATGAGCCACAGCATCGGTCATGAAATTAGTAGAAATACCCACCCGGGCCAGTCAGGGTGGGTTAGAGGGGCTAAAGTACATGTGGTTATTTCAGAGGTCCAACCCCGTGAGCTGTCCTGTGGGGCCAAGCACTCCTCCCCCCTCGTATATCAAAAGATCCTGAAACCAGTGGAGTGGCGGACATCCCAGGAATGGAAACAGGCACTGTCTCTGAACCAGTGTGAAATGTGTCAGGTTGAATTTAGCTTAGATTTATGGGCCATGGACTGCACATATCAGTGAATCCAAACATTCTCTAGGTTGAGAATGCACACTGTTGCAGAAAGGTCGCACAAATAAGAGAGTCATCCTCTCTGTGTTTGCATTTCAGCTTTTTGGCTTGAACATCTGCAGGGGTAATGTTCTCTGAGGAAACTGGAAAGCATCACTAGATTCTTCCATAGAACTAAACCACCATGAAAGAACCAGTTAGCTGCAGGACAATCACATCTTAGTATTTCTCTTGTTTGTTCTACTGGTTAAGAATCTGTTAACAACAGACAAATAAAGCTGTCTACTTCATGCATGAAAGATGGAGCTTCCCTATGAAGCAATGTGATTATTTCTAATTAAAAAGTCTCAGACTCCTTAAACCAGCTCTTGTTGTAGACTCAGCCAAACCAAAATATTTTTAAGGTAAGGAGTTGGTACATAAATGTACGGAAGAGGATTTTTATTTTATTTTATTATTATTTTATTTTATTTTTAAAAAGACAGAATTCTGAGATTAAAGTCAGAATTTCTGGAAAAAGGTCATATTCTGAACTCAAAGTCAGTATTTTGAGATCAAAGTCGGAATTCTGACTTTTTTTCCCATATTAAAATGACATAAAACACAAAAATCAGTTAACTTCTTTTATTTTTTCCATTGGCCCTAATCCTCTTCCGTATAAATGGCATGAGATTTTTTTTGTTTAATGAATATGTTTACTGAAAACTGATGTGCAATGATGTTCCTCTTTTTAAAGATGTTCTAGATGTTACTGATGCAAACGTATTGTACAGTTGTCAGGTTATCCAGGGTTAAATATGCAGTTGGCATGCTTGTTTTTTTTCCTCTCCTTCTTTGGTACATGTATTTCTCTGGTTAAATTCTAAAGACTATAATGATTTTTGAAGATTCAAAGTTTGGATTGTTGAAGATGAAATAAAATATATTTAAAGAGAGCTTGTTTGAATAATTGTTTGAAGTGTTATATATGAAAATGGCCATTAAAGGGTTCTAAAAAGAAAAAAAAAGTAAAAGTGCACACTGGGACGACCTGCGTCATGAATGTTAACCTTCATAACTCAGCTGGAACTTTATTCAACAAAATACATTATAGTTTATATTTTTATCTTTTTATTGCCACTCATTCAGGCTCTGGCAGGTGAGGTGTTGAGCAATGTTCTTATGATCTATCAGTTGTTCTGTATCAGGTGGTTGTTATGTGCGGATCTTCAAAAGGTACCATCAAGTACCATATACACATATATGCTTTATTAAAAAAGAAAAACATAATATGGGTGCAAAAGTTAGATTTATTATATTATTAATATATTCTCCCTAATCCAACCAAGTTCACAATTTTAGATACAACTCTGATAATATTTAATTGTCCCTTATTGGGTTGTAAAGAGAACACATTTTTTGTTGCGGTAATCAATGACCAATCGTTTTACCAGAACTGCTTTTCAGTTTGTTTGTTCTTCTTTCCTGGTATGGATCCAGACCCTGAGCATAGATTGTAAGTATTGCGGAACTCACATCAGGTGTATTCCAATAAACAACAACCCAAATTCAAATGAGATGCTACCATGAAGAGAATTCACATATTCAGTCAGAAGTATGTCTTTATCATGCATAGAAAGGCAATGTGGTTTCTCTAACCCTGTTTACAATATGAACCATGTACCTATCAGAGAAAATCTTCAATGAATTCAAACTTTCACCTTGGTTACCAGCCTACCTGGAAAAGTTCATATACATCAACAAAAGCATCTCAGAATTACCTGACATTCATCAGCATTATGAGTATGTAACATCTCTGATTGTTACTGTATATTGATTAAGAATTTTGGTTATTGCCAGTATTTTGTCAATAAAACCTAAAATATTGCTGTCTTATTTATTCATTTATTTTTATTTTTATTTTTTTTGCTACTTTACCATGTCAATTCAACTGAAGAGTTTAACAAGGAATAAAATGTATTTCTTTTAATTATTTATTGTTTAGTAATGCAGATTATGTGTTACTCTTTTCAAGCACCCTTTTTGTTAGTGTTAAATTTATTAACTTAAAACCCATTTTGGGGCTTAAATTCTGATTCCCTTTGCTTGAGCAAGATTAGTCTACATTGGTAAAGTTTAATGTTCAAATAACCCAAATGAGTTCCTTTAACACTACAGTTTTCAGTATTTATATATAAAAAAAAAAAAAGTCGCCTCTTATGGTAGCATCACACACATTTAAATGCTTTGAGTTCTCAGACTTTACTGTAATATATTTTGTTAGCAAACATATATCTTTTAGTCAAACGGTGCCACCAGTCATACATTTTCAAAGTTAGTCTTGGCAATGAAATGTGACACCAGATCAGCTTACCAGGAACTCAAAGTTCACCTCCTTCACACCTTTATCACTCTGGGAGATAAGGACAAATTGTAAAATGTTTTTTTTGGTATTGGGAAAATACAACATGAAAACAAAATAAAAATGAGGGAATGCTGTGCTCATATCCGGAGGTGTGTAAGACCGAAGCCGATAAGCAGCAGGCGCTAACCTTCAGAGAAAGGTTTTATCACAGCTTAAACTGAGACCTGCGACATTTTGCTCACATGGAGGACTGCCACATACTCCGGTTGCATCAGAAATATGCGTGATGCAGAAGCCAGACGCTGCAGACTAAATATAGAGCTCCTGGTTTGCACTCGCCCGGAGCAGTCTGGGGAAAGAAATACTTATGCCAGAGAATTGAGAATAATTTGAGTTTTATGTACATATATAAATGCAAAGTTGGATGTCCATCTTCCACTACTAATACTTTTATTGGATGAAAACTTTTTTTTATTAAATAAAGCTGCCCCTTATATCCGAACATAAATTCTTTCCCAGATTTAACCAGAATCTTTTCTGAGACAACCCTTGTGACTGCACGGTGGTTTTGTTGTATTTTACAATCCAGCCACATGTTAGTTCCTGTACTTTTCCTGCATGTGTTAGGCCTCCTTACCCTGACCCCTAAGAGCAGGTGCAAATTTTAGGATCAGCTTTCAAATGGCTGAACACCATCTGAAATTCTCAGTAGATGATTGGAGCTTCCGGCTCTGATGAGGGAAAATTATTGGCCAGTGAAAAGCAGTTCTGATTGGTCTAGTAGACTATGACATGACACCCACATCCTTTATATGCGCGACAAGGAGATTGTCTATCAATGAAGTAGTAAAGGGGGGGGACATCTGTGGTGGAGGAGAAGGAAAGGGAGGTTTTACAGAAACCTTTGTGAGAGTGTTTGCTTTGGTGGCGTTCCCTGCCTTTACTTACTGAATTCCTGGGTGACCAGTAACACATAAGAGGTCAGAAATGAAGTTCATAATTGGCATCGGAGGGTAAGTCTAAATGAAATTGATATCAAGCTACTTCTAAATGATACTTTTCTAGAAATTGAGATGTAACCCACGTTTGTGTGGCGTTAAATTCAGAGTGACCAACGGTGGGAAGACCACTTTGACAAATAGACTCCTAAAGACATTACCTAA